TCCGTGGGTGAGAGCTTGAAACCTGAATGTTCTCTGCCCTCTGTGGGGTTTTTGATCCAGGAGTTTCCTCAGAGAGCAGCTTTGCCTCTCTGGCTTCTCCTCACTCCATTTGTGTCCCGATTCCCATGGAATTTGGGGCGAGGAGGACGTTGGGATAGGTGTGCTCGGAGCGCCCGGAGATGCAAGTGGGGAGCAGCAGGGTGTCACTTCTGGGGCTGTTTGTGACACTCTCCATCCACATCGTCTTCTTCCTTGGGAATCCTCTGCTTTCTTTCCCGTCTATCTGCCCTGTCTCTCTTCAGGTGAGGAATTTGTTTGGAAAACCGAGTGAAATCCCGTTTTTAACACCCAAAAAGGCAGCGTCATAACAAAGCTGATGCATCTCCCGTAGGCTGGACTAAAGCTGGTCCCAGATGGATGCAGCTCCTCACATCCCTCCCTCCCTGCCAGCCTCCATGGGAGCTGCATCCTCTTCTTTCCCAGCACTGGCTGCATCCTTCCACCCCCGGGAGGGATGCTGGGAGGAGAGCTTGGAATGTTTGTGCTGAGGCTGGGCTAGGGCTGCGTGTGCCCCCCTGGCTCGGGAGCTCTTTTCCCACTGAAGTGGCTGAAATAAAATGGAAAAGGGATGCGATTTGCCCAAGGTGATGAGTCAGTGGTGAGCCAGGAATAGCAGCCCGAGCCCTGAGTCAGCTCAGCAGCTGCTCACCTACAGGCACCTGGCTCGGAAGGGCAGCCGGGAGCATCCCCATCCCAGGGAAAAATCCCAGGTGAGAGCTGGCATGGGAATAATGCCCAGCTTTCCATCCCTCTGTGCCTCCCTGAGCTGATGGAGCAGCCGAGGGGGGTCATGTTCCTCGATGAAATTGCTATTTTCAGCCTTTTCTGCGGGTTCCTCTTCAGGAGTGGGATGAGGCTGGAGGTGCATCCCACAAGGAAAGGGCTGGATGGGGTGGGACTGGGATCGTGCAGGGTGCTGTGACTTTGGGGTTGTTTCTCCCTGGGTCAAACTCACCATCCAAAGACAAAACCATGTCATTTTCCTTATGTTTTTGTCCCTGGAGGAAGCCAGCAAGACAAATTGTGTGACAGTGACACCATCCAGTGCCACAGCGAGCTGGGAAGGGACCAGCTGCCTCTCGGGGAAGGGGAAGGACCCTGCTCCCCAGCACCTCCGTGGCTTTGACCCAAGGAGACCCTCCCAAGCCTCCTCCCCGGGCGGGCGAGTTCCCATGGCACAGCCTGGCTGTGCTCCCGGGGCCGGGTGTCTCCTGATGCCGGGACATGTCCCAAGCTCACAGGGCTGTAACATTCAACACCAAATTCTTCTCTCCACCCACGGGCCTGGGCCAAGCCAAGGGAGGCAAATGTTTCCCTGGCTGGGGGCTTTGAAGTGGCCACATGGAGATGAAAGGGGGAGATTTTGGAGCTGTCGCTGGTGTGAGGCGTGAACAGCACTTCCTTCCCGCTCTGTGCTTTATTTTCCAGCTAGAAAACACAAGATTCCTTTGGATTGTAATGGAATGGGGGGAAAGGCAGGCAGGGATGGTGCTGTGGGCTGGGGGAGCCCAGCCCTGGCAGTGCCCCTGGGTTTGTTTTGGGTAGGGCTGCCCCAAACAAGTGGCCGCTGCCCAGCTGGGCATTGTGGCTGGGATCTATAGAAAATCCACGGAACACGGCGTCCCCAAACAGAATTAGTTCAAGACAGGTGGACTTGGGGCCATTGGCTCAGGCTCAAAGGCGAGCTGGAGCTGGGATTTGATGGGATGGGGACGGAGCATATGGTATCCATAGCTGGAAAAGTACTGGGCTGTCAGGAACAGGTAGGGCAGGGCAAGCTGACTGTGGAGCCAGGGGTCCCCTGCTGTCACTGTCACCAGGTTGGGGTGCATCCCCTCCCTGGCAGGGTTTTCACTTCTGGTTCAGCAGGAGAAATTATGGGGGAATTGATGCCAGTGGGATTTTTTTGGATGAAGCACCAGAGGCTGGGCTGGCAAGGTGCAGCAGCACCCGGATGGTGCCAACTGGTTCTGCCTGGGGCCTGTGGGAGAGAGGAGCATCCCCAGGGACACCCATCAGCCCTGGGGACACCCAGCAGACCCTGGGGACACCCACCAGACCCTGGGGACACCGCATGTCCCTCGGGAAGGGACTGGTGGCTGCGGGATGTGGGCAGAGGGGGAGCAGCACCAAGGAGTTCACTTGCTCTGCCCATTCAATCCTGTGTGGATGCTGGGGGACAATCCCAGGGGACAATCCCTGGGGACAATCCTAGGATGCAATCTTTGTCATGGAGGAATCCTCAGGGATTTCTGGACCCTGGTGGGGGGCAGTTCTGGAGTCGATCCAGGGGAGCAGTTGTCCCCAAATCCTGGGGGACAAACCTGAGACCAATCCTGAAGGGACAAATGTCCCCAAATCTTGGGGGACAATCCTGGGGGCAGCATCTGCCACCCCAATGGGATTCATTTCAAGGCACCAGCGATTTTTCCGTGCTGGAATTGGCAGTGCCACTTGGCCATATGTGACTGAGGAGAGCCCAGCTGACTCCAATTTGGGGACAAGGGACACAGGGGGCTGCTCCAGGGCTCTGGCACCCCACTTGGCATCCCTGCCCCCTGGATCCCTGCTCACCCACAGCCCTGCCGAGGGATTTGGGGTGCTTTTGTCATCTCTTGCTTGCAGGGGGTTTCAGAGGATGTTTGGGGTGGCCCAGCTGTGGTTTGGGGGCCGTGCAGGGATTTTGGGGAGCCCCTGCCAGCTCAGCCCCGTGTGGGGTTCATTAGTCACTGTGTAAATGAGCATTGCTGTGACTCAGCCAGCACCGCTGCGTGGGGAGCCCTGGCCGCGGAGCAGCCCCCGGAGCTCCGGGATGGACAGGCCTGGGAAAGGGGGGTTCAGGCAGCCGGTGCTGGAATGTGGAGCCCCGCGATGCCCCCTCGGGCCTGCCCAAAATCGGCATCGTTTTGAGCAGGATTAGGGGAGCTGGTCTCCATGGAGACCGTGTGTGTCTGCACCGGCGCTGCTGGAGACGCTGGGGCCCCTCTGGGAAATGGGGACAACGCTGGCATTGCCCACCCCGGGGGGCACCGCTCCCCAATCCCGCCCTGATGGACACGGGGGGATGTCCAGGACAGGATCCCACACCTGGCACAGCACCAGGGGTCCTGCAGTGCCAGGGGTCCCGCAGGCAGCTGTGGGGGTCCTGTTAGCACCCGGGGGTCCTACAGTACAAGGGGTTGTGAGGTACCCGGAGGTTCTGCAGTTTCGGGGGTCTCCCAGGCAGCACCGGGGGTCTCGCAGCACCAGGAGCGCCCCAGGCAGGGCTGGGGGTCCCAGGGGTCCCACAGGCAGCACCGGGGTTTGGCAGGCAGGGCTGAAAGTCCTGCGGTACCCGGGGGTCCCAAAGGCAGCACCGGGGGTCCCGCCACACCGGGGGGTGGGGAGAGGGTCCCTCAGCCCCGGGGGGTCTCCCCGGCAGGGCTGGGAGCCCCCCTCTCCCCGCTGGAGCCCGAGCAGCCACGCCGCTGCCATCTGCCTGCGCTGACCCACGGGCTCCCGCGCCGGCAAGCGCTGCTCGCTGCCGGAGATAATTGGCGGTGCTAATTAGCACGTTATTAACACACCCCTCCTCCTCCCCCTCCTCGCCGTCCTTCGCACGGGGCACGGCGCTGCTGGGCGTGCCCCCTCACCGAGCCCACCGAGCCCCGAGCGGCGCGGCCCGTGCCGGTGACACCGGTGACAAACGAGGGGACAAGGCGGCTGCGGGAGGGTGGCGGGTGCCGGTGGCAGCCCCGCACGAGCGGCTCCCAGATGGGAAGCGAGCGGAGAAGGGCAGCGTGTTATTAAAATGTGTTGAGTTGTAATAATCCGAGGGGGTGGCATTGCCACGTGGGAGAGAGCTATTTTAGACATCAACGCTGCGGCGAGGGGCTGAGGGCACCCGCAGGGGGGTCGGCTGGGGAGGAGACCCCCATTCCCCTCCCTCCCCCCATCCCCCTTTATCCAACAGGTTGTCTACTACACGGAGATGCACAAGATTTTTGGGGACCTGACGGCACAGATCGACCGGCCCGGGCTGAGTGATGAGCAGCGGGAGAGGGAGAACGACGCCAAGCTCAGCGAGCTCCGGGCGCTCTCCATCGTGGCTGACGACTGAGGCGGGGATGGGGAGGGGATGGGGATCCCCCCCTTCACCCCAGCTCCCATCCCAGGGATGGATTTGTGGGGCTGGAGCTGTTCCCATCACCCCACGGCTCTGCACTCCTGCCCAGATGGGGGGGAGGAGGCTGCTCCTGCCAGGGTCTGGATCGTCTTTGTCGCTCTATGAATGAGTTTTGCCTTAAATTTTGGGGTGTGGAGGAGCAGGAAAGGGAGCGATCCTGCTCGGATGAAGATGGGGAGTGGGATGTGGTGTGCTGGATTTTCCCAGGTTCCCACCTCCCTTGGCACCCCCAGAGCTCAGAGGGTAAGGACCCCCCACTCCTCCCCCTCATTTTGTGCCTTAGGAGCCCAGAGGCCCCCTCAGGGGAGGGTAAAATCACTCAAATCCCATTTTTTGATGCACAGGGACAAGGGTGATGCTTCCCGTGACGAGCATCCATCCCTCTTTTCCCAAGAACGGTACAAAGAGCCTGTGCCCCAGAGCTTGGGGGTGCCCAGGGTGGGGGAACAGGGGACCTCAGACCACAGGGACAGGTGGGGACACTCCTAAGGGAGACAATCCAGCCAGGAGCAAACCTATGAAAAACTGGGGAGATGCAGCCCCTCCTTGCTGTTCGGGGAAGGGCCAGAGGGACTCCTTGGCTTGTCCCCAAATAAAGTTTTTGGCAGCGCAGTGCGGCCGGGGCCGTGTTGGTGCCGGTGTCCCTGTCACTGCCGGGGCCGTGCCGGTGCCGGTGTCCCTGTCACCGCCGGGGCCGTGCCGGTGTCCCTGTCACCGCCGGGGCCGTGCCGGTGCCGGTGTCGCTGTCACCGCCGGGGCCGTGCCGGTGCCGCTGTCACCGCCGGGCCGCTGTCGCCCTCTGCCGCCGCCCGGCCGCCACTGCAGGGGCGACGCGGAGGGTCTTGGGTGTCACCTGGAAGGGAAAAACTGGGATCGAACATTCCCCGCCCCCCACCGTGGAGGCGCGGGAAGGAAACGGCGTCAGAGCACGAGGAATCGAGTTTTCTAGTAAAATACAGGAAATTTAAGCCTGAGCTGGCAGCTTTGAGGATAAGGAGAGGCTGTCTGCTGTGTCCTAGGGTCTGCAGATGCTGGGTGGGATAAGGGGTTGGAAGCCCACCCTGGTGGGGCTCTGGTGGAGCTGATGAAGGTGCCTCCTTTGCCTTAGGGTGGCATGAGGCTCCTGCTGCTCCAGGTGAGGGCACGCAGCTCCAGACATCAGGTAAGCCGTCACCACCTCTTCCTGCTAGGACCTGGATTTGGCAAATCTGCACGGGCCAAGGAGCAGTGGTCAGGGGTGTCCTGGGAGGCCCTGCAGAAAATGGGGATGGAACCCCTAAAACAAAACCTTCCCTTTGCAGCTGGAGCAAAAGGGATGGGGCAGAGCCGTGGGAATGCTGGTGGCTGTCCCCGGTGTAGGGACACAGCAAGGTTACCCCAAGAACAATCCCGTGCCAAGGCTCCGCCCCAGCTCCCAGCACAGAGAACTTCATCCCTCTGTTTCCCCTCAGCTGTTCCTTGCCAACCACATCACATGCCAGGCCAGGTTTAAGCAAAATAAACCCAGTTGCCACGGTTACCCAGAGCAGGGATGCTAAATATACAGAATATAGATATTTTTATATATTCTTAACTGCCACGCACAGAGCCCGTGAGCCCGAGCAAGGGACACGCTCCCCCACGGGATCTGAGCCCTGCAGGCCTCAGGGTGGCTCACAAGTGGGTAAAGGTCCATGGCAGCCCCTTTGTGGCTTTGAGGTGTTGATTCCTCCCTGGATTCAACCCCACCTGGGCTCACCTGAGCCCTCCTGGTGGCTTTGTCTGTGTCACTGTCACCCTGTGTGGCACAGCCAGAGCTCACCCCCAGCAGCCCACCTCTCCCGTGCTCAGAGTATCCACAAATCCCAGCTCCTGGTCTGTGCCATCAGCTCCTCCTGCCCTCCCAGCACTCAGGAGAGGCATTTCACCCATGGAAACTTAACCCAGGCGTTCCCAGGGATTCACTCTGCGTACTCTCCGCAGTGCTTGGGGAGAATTCCATCCTTTTACTATAAAAGTGGGTAATTACCGGGTTTTGCACCACCCACAAGATCCCAGCGTTAATAGGGAGAGCTGGCAGGAAGGGAAAATTAACTCTACAACGTGGAATGCGCTCAGCTTCGGTGTCTGAGGCACCCCTGGATGAGGTTCATCAGCTCTCAGACCTCCAGGAGCAGAGGGAAGGGAAGCAACTCTCCAAGAGGATCCACGTGAGTGGCAGTGAGGCCATCCCAGGATGTGGGGAGCATTCCCTGCTGGTGAGCAAATCCTGTTTTTTCCTCCCCATCAGGAATTCTGGGTTAGCCCGGTGGTGTTGGAGCAGTCCTGACTGTCCTCCCGACCCCCTCAGGATGGGTTTAGGAGATGCCAGCCCATCACTAATCCAGCAGCACCAATCCCAAGGATTTTCCTCATTAATTGGATGAATTAACTCTGTCCAGGCCTGCCAACACCAGCACCTGGATCCACACCTTGATTTTCCTTCTCAGATGCTCCGGAGCTTCCCCTTGCTCCAGGTGATCCAGGAATGCTGGGATAGGAAAGAGAGGCTCAGACCTCCCTCCTCTTCCTCACCTGGGGCCTGAAAGGAGAATCGGCATCCCCATGGCCAGCCTCAGCACCTTCCCTGGGATCAGCCCCTGGGGATCAGCCCTGTCTCCCAGGTGAGGGGAGGATGGAGGTGGCAGAGGGGCAGCAGGGAGGGGGTGCCCAGACTCCCACCCCGCTCTGGGAGCACCCAGCCGTGTCTTTTCCCCACCTCCCCAATCTCTGCCCGTGGCTCCTCACCCCGGGGGGGGCTCAGGAGAGCAGAGGGGGGCGATGGGAAGGGGTTGGATGCTGGAAAGGGGAGGGGACAAGGATAGAACACACACACACAGACACCCAGGTGTGCTCCAAAAACCCTTCAGCACCCCCTGATGAGGCTGTGACCCAGCCGGGGGACTCTGCCAGGGACCCCCAGCACCGGAGCCAGCCCCTGCCGTGAGGATGCACTCACGTTTCCCGGGAAGGAGCGGTGGGATGCAGGATGCTGCAGCTCCGAGGATGCCTCCGGGGCGTCGGGCTGGGAGCGGTGCCGGGAGGGCTCGGGAGGCGCTGCGGGATTCACCGCTGGGAAGGAAAAAAAATCCCAAGTGACGGTAGGAAATCCACAGGGAAGGGGGGAAAGGGAGGGATAACGGGATACCTGATGGGACAGCACCTTCCTCACCTGCGGCACCGGCCCGTCCCGCGCAGAGCTCCAGCAGCACCAAAATGGCATCCACCCCTCCTCTATCCCCCAAACTGGGGAGCCCCCCTGGAGAAAGCCGCGATGCTCCCCTGAGCATCATCCCCGCCCCGGCGGGGACCTCCCGGCGCCCCCTCCCCACCAACCCACCCGCGGGGCAGTGTGGGGGGCTCCGGGGGGAGGACAGGCTTTACCCTCACTCCGAGGCAGCGGGACCCCTGCGGAGCCTGCCCGGGGCTGAGTGGGGAGGGGGCTCGGGGGAGAGCCTGGGGAGGGGCAGCAGCCGCTGGAGCCGCCCGTGGGAGCGGGCCCGGCCGGACAAAAGGAGCGGAAAAGCCTTGGGAAGTGACGCGGAAAAGCCGTGGGAAGTGATGCGGCAGTGACGCACCTTCGCGTGACGTCACGCCAACTTTAGGGGTGTGACGTCACGTCGCGACAACAAGCACCGCGCTAAGAGCCGCCTCTTTATCGGTGAAAAGCCTTTATTGGGGGAAAGGGTGAAGGTGAAGGGGGTGCGCCGGGCCGGGGACCGGCCCCGGGCGGGCGGGACGCCGCAGGGTGAGGTGTGATGCACTTCCTCCATCCAGGTGTGGCGGTGGGAGCGGGACCCTCCCATCCTACCTGCAGCGGCCGCCCCGCAGGGAGCGGCGGGTCAGGCGGGTGAGCAGCACCTTCACCCGGCCCCAGTGCGAGCGCCCGTCCTGCCGGGAGAGGCGGGGTCAGTGGGGGGGGACCCGCGGGACCCTCCCCCCGTCACACCCCGACACCCCCCGGCCGTACCTTGTCCGGTGCCGGGACTCGCGCCCCGCCCTCGGAGGGGTCCAGCAGGCTGGGGGAGCTGAGCGAGTGTCCCCACATCCTCCGGCACGGCCCGGGCTCGGCTGCTGAACGGGACAACAAACCTGGTCAAGCTGGGAGTCCTGGGGGGCATCATCCTGCCATCCCACACCCTGCCCCTCACCTCCATTCACCTAGCAACGGTCGGTCCTGCCATTCCCACACCCCCCAGTGCTCACCTGCGCCCAGGTGCCCTCATTGCTGAGCCTCACCCCGCTCACCTGGTGCCTGGCTGTCCGAGCAGGAGCGCGGCCGGAACTCCTCACCCCTCCACGTGCCCAAATCCTGCCTCGGAGACTGCCGGGTGGGCTGCGGGTGAGGAGAGCACAGGCCGGGTGTGAGCTGGGGCCCCCCCACGCCCCCTCCCCGCGCATCCCCCTCCTCCTGGCTCTCACCAGGGTGGCCGGGCGGGCACTCCGGGCTCCGGCCGCCTGCTGCCGGAGGGCGTGGTTGTCCTGCTGCAGCCTCGCCAGGCGCTCCAGCATCTGGCACACGTGCTCCAGGTAGCGCAGCCCCTGCCCCGACACCGCGGCCCCGGGCTGGGCCCGGGGGTCCCGAGGGCTGCCGGACTGCCGAGCCCCCCCTGCCGCCCCTTGGGGCTCCCCGGGGTCCCGCGGTGGCTCTGCCAGGTCGGCAATGCTGGCGCTGCGCCTGCTGAGCTGTCGAGGGCAGCGCTGCCTCCTGCTCCTCTGCGCTGCCTGCAGCAGCCTCCTGCTGGCCGAGCGGCTCCGGGGGGGCTCTTCTCCGGGGGGCTTCTCCGCCGGAAAACCGTCCAGGGAGAAGCTGCTCTCAGAGCCCAGCGGGGTGGAGGGCGAGTGCTCGTTGCTGGCCATCTCCACCCCGGAATCCTCGGACTCAAACTTGAGGAACCTCCTGCCGGCCGAGGGGCTGCTGGGGGGCTGCGGTGGCGGCGGGGGGGGTCCCCGGGTGCTCATGCCCCGCGGGGGCTGCCGCGGGCTCTCCTGCAGCCGGCGGTAGACGCTGGCGGAGGTGCGCACGATGCAGCTCTCGGCCGACTCCCAGGGACCATCTGCGGGGGGATGGAGGGCGGGTGGGCTCAGCTGGGGGGTCCCTGAGCAGAAAATTTGGTGCTCAGCACCTCTCCGAGCCCCCCGAACCCCCTACAGCAGCTCCAGCCGTGCCCAAGGCCGCTCTCTCCTCTGCGCAGTGACCCCACTCCTGCGGGTCCCTGCAGCTGGGAATGCGCTCCTACAACCCCGGCGTGTTGTCGCTGCTCCCCAGAAACAAGGTCCCGGCCTTCCCCATCCTCATCCGAAACCGCGCTGCTGAGGGGGGCATGGCCCCCACCCTGACCTGGGCAGGGATTTTGAGCCTCTCCAGCTCGGTGCCGGCAGCCCAGGACACAGCACGGCCGTGGGATCCTGGATGGCTCCAGGAACCACCAGCTCCTCGCACTTGTCCCCACAGGATGGGGGGGCATCGCCAGCTGGGATGTGCGCCCCACCACCCCGCAGCTCCAGGTGGGATTGCGGCGCATCCATGGGAAGGTCTCGGCGCTCCTTGCCCAACACTCGCTCCCTTCCCAGCCAGGCCGCGGCGAAGGGCTCGGGGAGATGGGAGCGGAGCTTTGGCACCTCCTGCGGGCTACCCACCCCCCGAAAGCCTCGCCCGGGGGCTGACACCCCCCCTCAAACGCACTCACAGCAGCTGAACCTCCTCTTCCAGACGGCGCGGGAGCCACCCCACATCGCCGAGAGCCAGAGCCGAGTGCCGGGTGCGCGTCCCGGAGCTCCCTTTTATATCCAGCGCAGCCAGCGACGGGCCCTGTATCCACAGGCACCTCATTACAGGACCGGTTCCCAACTGGTTCCTCGCAGGCTTTGGGATCGGCGGTACTGGCTGGGCCAGTGGTTAAGGACTCCCTTCCCACCCCAGCTGGGAAGGCGAGAGGGTTGTTTGGGTGCCGGCTGCATCCCACCGAATTCCAGAAAATTCACTCCGGACTCCAGCGTGGGCTGAATTCACCGGTCGGGGGTCCCAGCGCTCCCAAATTCCTGCCCCTCCTGCAGCTACAGCACTCACCGCGCATCCCTCGGGGGCTGGAGAGCCGGGAAGTCGCGGCCAACCCAGGGACAATCCGGCCGTTCAGTGGGATTGAATCCCAGCAATGCTGGGGAGCAGCCCCTCCGCCCCGGCAGGATTGAATCCCAGGAATTCCGGGGGGCAGCCCCTCCACCGCAGCTCCGTGGCCGCTGCCAGGATCCCGGTTCCCACACGCCGCAATTCCACAGACTCCAGGACTCCTCGTGCCAAGGGGCTGCTTCTCCCGGCACCACGGGGGTGTTACCGGAGCTCCACCGGCGCGGGGGCCACGGGCAAGGCGAGAAGGGGCGTGGGGGGTCCCCATCAGCCCCTTCTCGGGGTCCCCCCCGCCCTGGCAGCTCCAGCTCAGCCCCCGGTACCTCCCAGATGCTGCTGGAGGGGGTCCCGGCACAGCCGGAGCTGCGGCACACGTGGAGATGGGCCCTAGGTTTTGGGGACCCCCACGCTGTATTTGGGGCCCATCAACCCAAGCGTCGCAAGGGCAAACCTGAATTCCCAGGGCAGCCTGGGCCCCTTCCTGCAGGGAGTGGGAGGAAAACCAGGAGTCCAGGGACCCTCTTTAGCTCAAATTGGGGGTTCCAGAGAGCCCCCAGATTCCTTCTCAAGCACAAACAACGCAAATTGGGGTTCCAAGGACCCCAGGTTCCCTCACCAGCACAGACACCTCAAAACAGAGATCCCCGAGGATCCCCTCCAGCACGATCCTCGCAGGTTGGAGACCCCCGAGGGATCCCCCACAGCCCCAGGGGCCACCGACTCACCGAGGTCACCACGAAGCGGCCGCACCGTGAAGGCTCCGCGGCGGCGCAGCATCCTCGAGATGTACCGAGAACCAGGCAGGGAACACTGGGAGCCGGGTTGGGAGCTCAGGGGCTGCTCCTCCGGTGCTTTATGGGGCAGGGCCGGGGGGCGGCACGGCTCCGGGGCGGGGCGGGGGTGAGGTGGCCGCCCATTTGCCCCCAGCCCCAGCTGTGTCGTCCCATGAGCGCTCAAAGCGTTTATTTCTCTTTTTCCCGGAGAGGGCCGGACCATCATCATCCTCCCTCACTGGGCGTCATAGAGCCATGGAATGGTTTGGGTGGGAAGAAACTTTAAATCCCATCCAGTGCCACCCTCAGGGACACCCTCCCTGTCCCACATCGCTCCCAGCTCCGTCCAACCTGGCCTTGGACGCTTCCTGGGATCCAGGGGCAGCCCCAGCTCTGGGATGATTAATCGGGAATTCGATGGTGAGAGCTCCATGGCCGAGCCCGGGACACCCCAAACAGACCCCAGTGAGACCCCAGGCAGGAGGGGAGCGAGGGATCTTGGCTGTCCGTGTTGCGGAGGGACAGGGGAAGGGGCAGGCCGCTGATAACAGTAAATCCCAGATAAGAGAGCAGCCATCTCCGTGCAGGCGGGCACGGAGGGCGGGGAGAGGTGATAAGAGCACCTGGAGCAGGACAAAGGCCTCGGCCAACAGCCCCCAATAAACCCGGACACCTCCCAGGGACTCTGGGAGGGGCCATCCAGGTCCTGCGGGCAGCCCTGACCTTCCCGGGAGCACCGGAACCCCACCCCGGGTGCAGGCAGGAGGGCTGAGGGGTCTGGGGGGTTCCCGGTCTGCACCCTGGGTTTGGGGTAAAACCTCCCCTTTCCCCCTGCCCTGGGGTCCCTGCAGAGAGCAGACACGGCAGTGGAGCAAATATATATTATATTTATAGAGAATCTGGTTTAATTCCTCGGAGAAGCCCTTTGCAGTCAGTGCACAAGCGGTGCCAGCCCCCCCTCCAGTACCCAAGTGCTCAAGCGACCCCCACCCCCCTCCCCCCA